AACTACAAACTATAACAAATCTGCAATATTGAGCCAAGAATTCTTAAATTTGATTTTGTAGTTAGATAGATAAAGTAAATGCTTGAAAAATATTCATATATATATATATATATACATAAACATAAGTTTAATTAATTTTATGACTTTGAATATAATTTGGAAAATTAAGTCTTCTCTCTCTAGTAAAAATAAGAAATTGATCCCTTCTCACTATCCCGTACACTAGTATATTTCCTATTAACTTAATAGATTTATTGCAGTAAAAACTTGAACTAAGTTCATTTAATTTATACTTATTACCATTTTCAGACTTAGTCGCCGGGCTTTATCCTCTACTAACAGTTCACTATCAGTCTTTTTAGCTTCACTTAATTTTTCTAATTTGCTTTCAGATTTTTGAGAACTTAAATTAGCAGATGTTAACGAGACTCCTAATAAATTAATTCTTTCCTTTTTCCGTTTTTCTAATTTTTCTCTAAACTGTTTCTTTTGGATTTAACAGCTTGAATTTCTTCCCAAGCATCAGACATTTTTATTTGTTATCATGAATTTATTCTTCAATAACAAATTCATAAATAATAACTATAATTAGCAAATTGATATAAAAGATTCACTTATACAAATAATAGTATCAACTATTTATTTCACAAGAATAAGCATTTAGTTTTTATTTTTTGTGTTCAAAGGTTGACATTTCTTACTTCATTTTGACAGTAGAATTTTGAGGTTATGTTGATTAAAGGTAAACAATAAATATTTGTGTTTGGTCATTTTTTGTGACGAAGCTATTTCATTATACAGTTTATTTAAATAAGTATCAGTTTTATATTCCAATGAGCTATACATTTCAAATCCTAGAAAAGGATTGTTGATTAAACTAGATTATTATTTAACCCACAATTATTTTGGAATTATTTCAATTATTTCGTAAACTTTCACTTTTTTATTGTATCTTGTTTATTATTATTTATAAAATTTCTTTAATATCTTTAATATCTTTTTTAATAACAACTTTTATCTATGGCTTTCGTAGTTTATATTTAATCTGGCGCTGCAGTCACACACATAGCAAATAACAAAACGAAGTGTCTCATCTTTTCAAGAAAGTACGCTATGCTCCAAATGTCAAACAAATTTAATTTAAGTTGAATTCAGTTATAGCATTGAAAAGGATTGTTGATTAAACGAGATTATTATTTAGCCCACAATTATTTTGGAATTATTTCAATTATTTCGTAAACGAGTATTAGCAGTTCAAAATATTTAAAATGTCAGAAGAAACAATTATGTCAATGAATGATCAAAAAATTAAAATTGAACCACCAGATTATTCAGAAGAAGACATTAAACGCGAAATTCAGGATGATTTTGATGATATTGTTAAATCTGAATCGTATTCTAAGGATGATGAAACCTGTTTAGAAAGATTCTTGAACTCCGAAGTGACTATCGAAGAAGAAGTAAAACAGGAGTTAGTTGAGACACCAGCTTATGAATGTGAGATTTGTAATCACTCATTTGCAGAATCTGATGAATTAAAAGAGCATATGGTCGATCACAAGCATAGTAATAGCAAAGAAAGCCCTTTCAAATGCGAAATCTGTCATAAGACTTTCAAACGAAAAGATCATCTGAAAACTCACATGTTTTTGCACATTGGTGAACGCCCCCATGAATGCGGTATATGCAACAAGACATTCACACAATCGAGTAATCTGAAAAAACACATGCTGATTCACAAAGTAGCACGTCCCCATGAATGCAGTATTTGTAATAAGACATTTAAACAATCAGGTCACCTGAAAAGTCACATGGCCATTCACAGTGGTGAGCGCCCTCATGTTTGCAGTATATGCCATAAAACATTCAAACATTCAAGTAATCTGAAAAGACACATGCTGATGCACAAAGGAGCACGCCCCCATGAATGCAGTATTTGTAATAAGACATTCACACAATCAGGTCACCTGAAAAGTCACATGGCCATTCACAGTGGTGAGCGCCCTCATGTTTGCAGTATATGCCATAAAACATTCACACATTCAAGTAATCTGAAAAAACACATGCTGATGCACAAAGGAGCGCGCCCCCATGAATGCAGTATATGCAAAAAAACATTCACACAATCACATAGCCTAAAAAGTCACATGCTGATGCACAAAGGAGTACGTCCCCATGAATGCAGTATATGCAAAAAGACATTCACACAATTAAGTAATCTGAAAAAACACATGCTGATACACAGTGGGGAACGCCCGCATGTTTGCAGTATCTGCCATAAAACATTCACACAATTAAGTAATCTGAAAAAACACATGCTGATGCACAATGGAGTACGCCCTCATGAATGCAGTATTTGTAATAAGACATTCACACAATCAAGTAGTTTGAAAACACACATGCTGATTCACAATGGAATACGCCCCCATCAATGCGATGTTTGTAATAAGACATTCACAGCATCGAGTGGTCTGAAAGCACACATACTGATTCACAATGGAATACGGCCCTATGAATGTAATGTTTGTAATAAGAGATTCACAGTATTAGGTAATCTGAAATGCCACATGCAAATTCACAATTGAATGCACAATCTCCATAAATGTAATTATTTATAATAATACATTCACACAATTAAGTCTTCTGAAAAGACACATGCTTATTTATCCCAGAAAGCATCCTTATAAATTTGAAATGATTCTAATGATTTGAAGAGACACATGCTACTTTATAGTCGGAAATGAAATAATAATCCATGAAATATAAACATATTTCTTAAATAGAATTTAAATATTAGGCAAAAAAGTTATAAAATATTCTTGCATGTAATAGAATGTATGAATAGTATAAAATAAACAGTAAACATCACATTATATTACAATCATTGTTAATCAAGGCAATTGTTACTTATTATATAATTGTATTGTTTGTTTAAATTTTTTAAAAAATGTTTTATCAACTTATATAAATATTTGTATGACAATAGCTATTGCAGTCTATAGTATAAGTATAATAAAATATTGTGATTGTATTAGAAAAATTCATCTTTCATATGTTATATGATCTTACTTACATATTATATGATGATATATACTCATGTTATCATCTGTTTAAATAATTCGAATATGAGAATTGGTTTAAGTGATATGTGTTTAATTGGGTATTTAATATATACTCAATAATTAATTTAATCAATTTTAAGTTAAATTTCAAGATTAAGATCTTTTTAAAAGCCGATGTAATCATAAAACAATTCTCATATTCAAATTAGTTTAATTAAAGTTCAAATTACGCGCCGATTCTTGTTGGCTTCCATTGTTGACATCAACCTGTCAACTGTCAGAATTGTGATAACCTCAAATCGAAAGTAACATTATTTTCGTTTTGCAATTTGTGAAATAATAAAATAAATAACATAAAATACATATCTTGGCTTTATATTGTTAAGAAAAATTAGATTTCTTGTTTCTTATAATCTAGAATTTTCTAAATTCTAGTCTTAAAATATTATAAAAGTTACTAATTCCTTTCTATTGTGTGAGAACTTGTCGTAGTCTTTAGTTCGAGCAAGTGTTGTAAATTTATTATTTGCATTCTGATCGTTTTGTCAACAAATATAAATTCCAAGAATTAATAACTTATTAAATCGACGACTACAATTTGTTTAAACAGATGATAATGTTTCAAATATTATGCCTAAAAAGGCACCAAGGTTAGTAATGATTTGAAAATCAATTATTTTTGTGAAAAAAAAGTAATAATACTTTCTAAGGTTTGAGGGATTAGAAATTGTTGCTATTATTGTATTAGTAAAAATTTACAATTTAATTTTCGATCAATGAATGGAGAAACATCTAAATCTATACCCTTTACATTGGGGTTGTTGATAACTATAGTAAAATACCATAAAATGTTTGATTTCTATTTCTAATTTTTTTGTAAATACATATTGAATCATTCTTACCGTTTATTTCCAATCTAAATTTGCTTTCGAGGTTAATAATGTTTAAGCTTCAAGTAATGAGAAATCGAGCAGATCCGATTTTTTAGTTTTAGATTGATATAGGATTGTTCTCCTGATAAATTTAATAAACAACACTCTCTCAGTCTCTATTTAAATATTTCTTTTAAATTACAAAGGTGACTGTTCTGTTTGTGTGTATTTTTAAAATTTAATTAATATTTCTTTCTATTAATCAAATATTCTCCTTGTATTATAGTATAAAAAATCGAATATGGGAACGAGATAGACGCAACAGGTTCAATGCGAGCTTTGAAAAGTTAGCTTCTTTACTTCCTGAAAAGAATTCAAGCACAAATTTAAGTAAAGTGTTAATAATTCAGAAAGCTACAGAATTAATAGAGAAACTCACTGGCGAACAAAATGGTATGTTAAAGCTTAATACTAATTTAACCGTTATTAAGTACAACTATTTATATTAGATTTTTTTTTGTCATAATCTAAAAGAAAATTCGATTATCTGATTATGATTGAAGAAGATTATGACTCAGATTGCAATAAAAAAAGCTGTAAGTTTAAGGCCAAATGTTTTTTATAGATTATACATATTTGAAAAATTAATCAATTGATGGATATCATTTCACTAAAAATTTCTTGATCTAGTTTAATGCATACAAAATAGTTTCAATTAAATTCGGAATATTTTTTATCAATCAAACTCTACCATATATGTATTTATATATTAATATAATATATAAATGAATTAATCCAATCCAAGTATCCAATAATCATATTTTCTGGATTTTTACATAACAAAATTGCAATATTCTGAATTGGCCATTGTAGTTTGCTAAATTTATTTTTAGATAAACATACAAAGTTACTTAATGAAATAAAAGTATTAAGTGACAAATGTAACATTTTGACTAAAACCATACAAGAAGCCGGTTTGCTTGTACCAAATATTGAAATCGAAAATAGACAAAATGTCTCAGAAAATGATGCTCTGAAGCAAAACCTATGTAATAGTATTCACAATATTGAAACTGGTTCCAATGTTGATAAAAATGATGATAAAACTAATGATTTGGGAACAAATGGCCCATCAAGAAAAAATGTGGCTAATACTAATGCTGCAAAAAATGGTTCAGATCAGAGATATGTGGAAAAAGAAACAGGTAACTGTAAAATAATTTTGTACATAGATTTAGAATAACTTATTATAATTAGGCTTTATAACTAACTTTATAAGAAAACCGATCTCTCATTTTTATAAAAGAGTTTTGCTTGAATATTCTATAATTTGATCAAAAAGATTTAATAAAAAATTTAGAGTGATTCGACTAAAATTAAATACTGTTAAATTTTATTGATAGTAAATTTTATTATGCAAGTTAGTAGAACAGACATATAATCTTTACCTGCATTAAGTAACTTTAAAATTAATTGTTGGTTCTTTATGCATAATTTTCTTTGAAAGTAATTAAATAGTGAAAAGAGTTATTAAGCAAAGGGTTTAAATAAATAATAATAATTTACGAAACAAAAAAAACATTTATTAAATTCAAAAATCAAAAAAGAAATTGAATAAATACATATATTGATACATACTTATTTAAATCAGCTAATTATAATATTATTTTTTTTCTTGTTTATAAAATTTGTTAACATGATTTAATTACCATTACCATTTTTCTCAAGATTATATTATATTATAAGTTTATACCGAACAAACTATTCAATGAAATTTAATATGTGTATTCAAAGTGAAATGTGTACTATTCAAAGTTTTACTTGAAATTTGAAAAAGCTGTTTTAAAAAAAAATTTGTTTTCATATATTTTATAGATATTCCAACAGCTGCTTTCAAGGATGATAACTTAGTTAAAAATAAAGTAGTGCAGAAAAAAGGCGCTAAAAACTCAGAAAAAACAAGTGGTTAGTAAATGAAGGAATTAATTTTTACATATCTATATATTTATTGATATATATTTGCAGACAAGTCTAAAATACAAATCACAGCGAGTGGCAGCGTCCAAAATACTTGTCCTATAGTTATAATTGTAAATGATCCTCAACTAAATTCTCAACCACAAGTTAATGCTTTAAAGATATCAAATGGACTGACAATTATTAAGAACACAGCAATGCCGAACTTCAAAACAGCCACCAATCCACTCAAAGTTTTGAATAATAGGGTAAATAAAAAAACTGATAGTGATGGGAATATAAAAATAGCTTCTAAAGAAGTGAAAATCGACTTACATGATGCAACAATCAAGAATAAAGTACCTATACCAGCATTACACAAATCACAATTAAAACCATTGGGAAAGAAATCAAGTCTAAAACCAAAACAAAAAAAAGTGTGCCGAGTTACATATAGAATGTTGAGAAAATCAAAACTTTTGAAGAAAAGAGTGAGTAAGAAAATAGTTAATGATCAACAAATTATTAAAAGTATAGGTATTGTTGAAACTTCTGCCAAACTACAAGTAATTGAAGAATCTAAAGAAAATTCAATTGTTGATAAAATTACAGAACCTATAAATGCAGATACCAAGCCTCCTAATGATTGCAGCTCCAAAAAAAGTAATGATTTCAATCAAAAAACAATTGTTACATCCGTAGCCACTTATAGTATTGATTCTTTGTGTAATGCCAATATCAAAATAGACAATATGATCCCATCAAAACTTGACAACACTTCACAAACAGTTCAAGTTTGTGAGAAGAACTCTCAATTGAAAAAGGGGCCACATACCAATCCCTGTATGGATAACACTTCAAAATGTGATCCGATGTTATCAGATTTATCTAATGATTTATTTGCTTCTTTGCAAGTTGCGCCAATGGTAAACCATCAGGCAGGGTGTACATCCCCCACAGCTGCTTTTCTTCTAGCTTTTCCTTTGGTATCATCACTTAATGGAGGGAAAGTTAACCAAGTTATGGATGAAAGTTCAGAGACTCAGGAAACAAGTACATCTTTATTGCAAATTGGAAATCATAAGACGATTGCAGATAATACAACGGGTTCGAATCTTTTGAGTTTGGATCAATTTTCTACATTATTCACATCCAAGGAAATGAATAAAAATCAAAATGCATGCGATAAGAGGATGACCCCAAAAGGTATTGCAACAACTTTGTACAATGCAAAAAGTGATTTACCTAGTGCTAAAATTGAACTGAAAGATTTTAGTAAAGAAATAAAATCTTCAATATCACATACTACAGATAAATACAGTAGTAAAAGAAGTGCACAATGCCTTTATACCTATGGAAATTCCAATAACTGCGGTTTAGGCTTGCAAAATAATATATACAATTCCCCTTATGACATAGGTAATAAAGAAGAGAAGAATAAATTTAGTCATACAAATATAATGATTGATAATAGCTCGATGAGTCTATCATGTTTAAATAATCAAGAGATAATACCTAAAGTTCCTTCTACTTCAGTGCAGGTACAATATAGTAGAGAAATGAATCGGATGGATGCAAAACCTTCAACGATCAATCTCACATATTCCATGGCTGTTTCACAAAGTGAAACTTCTTTAGCTCCTTCTTGCAATAATATGAAACCAATGTATTTAGAAGCCCAAAACTTCTATAATCCTTACACACCTTTCAATACTGGTAATATTGGTAAAGACAAGTCAGACTACATTTCTCCTGTATCGACTTCTATAATATCTACTGATGCAAAATTGCAACCATCAAACACATTTGCACTGCAAGGCAATTCCGGTTCTCAAAGTTGTGATAATTTGTATAATGAAAAACAACAAGGCTTGAATGATAGACTGTGTATCAACGAAAAAAATAAAGCAGAAAACAACTATCAAGAACAAGAAAACAAATATACTAAGGATGTATCAATGAGGTATAAACCATATGCTTCTACAAGTGGTAACAATTCTAAAGCAAAGAGACATGAAATAATGAAAGACACTTTGAAGGATCATTCTCAATCGATCAAACTTCCTGTAAATTGGATGACTACACCAGATGTCCGACAAAATTCTTGTAGTCTCCCAAAACTTAACATTCAAAACAGTAATTTTAATTATAACAATTTGGATTTCAATATGTCTAGCAGCGCTGATGCTAAAGAACCGTTTTTTATTGTTCCTCCAAATGAAAATTTAAATACATGGAATAATAATAATAGTCATTCACAATTAGTATTGCCAACAACATTACCGACTTTAATTGGAGATTTGGCATTAGGAAACACTACACCTTTTCAGCACACACAAAACAACATTAAACAATATACATCTTGTTTTAAAGATAAAAAAGATTATAATGTTGTTCCTAAAGAGCAATTGGATAAGAATATTACTAAACCCAATGATTTACCACTGCAAAGTAATACTTGGAGTAATAATTTCTCAGTAAGTCAATTAGTGGAGCAGTATAAATCTGAAAAAGATCTCACTTTACAAAATAATGAAAGACGTCATTTTGCATGTAGTAAGCAAAAATATTTATCAGATGTAAAGAAAAATGTGAAATATGAAGAAGATTTATGTAGTATGATAGAATCAGTAAACCATGATGCTGATATATTTCAAAAATCTAATGACCAAAATAATTTAATGCCAAAAGCGAATAAAAAATATTCAACGGAAGCTCTACTTAGTGATGATACAAAGCATGATTTCAGCATAGGAAATTTTCGCCAGCAACAATTTTTTCCTTTGGTCGATTTTTCTTCTGATATACATCAACCTGTGTCAAAGTACAATAAACAACATGTAAAGACTTCAGAAAACACAAGTTTGGCCGGTACGAACTACCCATATCCAACTTCAACAAATAATTATGCTTACACTAAAAATAATGCAGGAGTAAATAATATGGATATGAACAAATTGTTGCATTTATCAAGTCAAAACGATATGCAAACTCAATCAATACAGCAACATAGCATGGATGACTTCAAAAGTAATACATATAAAAATATTGATAACAAGAGTATGCCGAATCCAAATAGTACTTATGTTAGGAAATCATTAAAGAAAACTAAAGCTCAAGAAAATAACATGATAGACTTCAACTATATGCCAGGAAGCCATTCACCAGTATTTACAGAAGACTCATTTTATAATTATTCTTTAGGATACACTTCAAATGCATCATCTCAAAATTATCAAAATCAAAATTTATTATACTCAGGAAATGTAAGGTCTCATATAAATCAGCATCATACCTTGCCTACATTTTCTTCGCAAACAAGTGCTAACATAAATGTCTCGAAAAATATAAATAACACACACATTCCTACACCATCACCGAACATTACTAATAACAGCTCATCCTTAACAAACTTTAATTTAAGTACTATATTTCCAGAAATGAATGATAAAATCAGATCTGGATGGTAAATTTAATAATAATGGAGGACTTGTAAATATGTTTATAATAAAAAATATTTCTTTAAGTTAGTAGTGTATTAATTAACTTCCCGTAGGGTAAGTTATAGTAATCGCAAAAAATTGAAAATAAATATATATCTTTACGTTTTAAAGGTTTCTGAATATTTTGGCATACCTTGGAAAAAATGGATGTGTGTGTGTGCGGATACAAATTTCCGTCGACGATTTCGGGAACACGGATCAACCGATTTGAATAATTCAAAAAACATTCGATTTGTATCGATAAGGAGACGTGCTGATTGTTTTTGGCGAAGGCAGGTCTAGCCGTTCCAAAGATACGGGGCAAAAAGTTCCAAAAACGGTAACTCAGATTTTAAGAGAACGGAGCGTCTGATTTTGATAATTCAAAAAACATTTTACTTGTATTGACAAAATGAAGAACTGATTAAATTTTTGGGAAGGCAGGTCCAGCGGTTATGGACTCTCAACAACAAAAAGTTAAAAAAATGTCATTTGGCTGTCAAAAATGTTTATTGGACATATGTACATCAAATTATCAGATATTTTATAGAGATTTTAATCATGTGTACACATTTTGTGTGATTTTTTTTGGGTTCCGTACCAAATTTTTATTACGGTACGGGAAGTTCCAGCAATTTGCCTTAAGCCACGATGCCATGCACCCCCCTAGTTTATTCCACTTATTCGAAAACATCAATTATCACTATATTTCGTATAAAAGAAAAGTTAGATTCTCTAATTATATTTATACTCGCACACGATTGCTATGTAATAAAATAAATTATTCATTGGCTTTTTAAAGCATCATTCGAAACGTCATTTTGACAGATGCTTGTTTTTGTATACAAAACTTCAAAATATTTTTTATTTATCAAAACCTAAATACTCAAAAAAAAAAAGACACAATAAGTTATTGTGAATAATACGTATGCAATGTTAACTAAATATGACATTTAATAAAAGAAATCAAATAAATTCGAGTTCTCTTTTTGAAAAACCCCGCGCATAAAATCATTCTGCCCAGTGAAAATGGCTGACCTGTTGGTAGAATTGGACCACATCGATTGTACCCGTACATCACTTCATCGTAGTCGCGTTCGACCGTCCAATAGGTATGTTCGACCGCCTTGGAGCGATTGGACTGATTCAGTCCGACTTGAATGTGACATGGCGTCTGTGAAGAAAGTTCCCTGTTGATTAAGCTTTGTTAATGTTTATTTTATGACGTTGATTAACAAAAAGGCTTTTATATAGGCCAATATATATCCCAGAGACTTGCATTGATGGTAATGCATGCAAGGAAACCGCAGCGCATTAGCGATGGGTACGAATTCGTTGTGTTTTGACACAACCTCACATCGCCATACTTTTGATATGTACAATTATAGGTCGATAATTATAAATTCGATAGTCAGTTTATTATTTCCATTAATATAAAATGTCTTTTTCTCATTTTAGGTACTTCGAGAAGCATCAGGCCCATCCCTATCAGGTAAAATCTATATAAGCGGCGAACATACATTTTTCTATTGACAATTACATTTTTGTCCAATGATCAAATTAACTTTTTTTCATTTGCGTATTATTATGTAAATAATTTCTTCTTGCATTTTATTTTTCTTGCAATCGTTTATTATTTGCAGCAATAATATTTTCTGATATTTTTTTTTGCAAAAGCCAGCCATTCACTTTAATATTGATCTGTCACTCACACATAACAAATAATATTTTCATTGTAAAAATTCATTTTTTGACTACTATTTGCTTATTTTTATGCATAACTACTTGTGAATCAATAATAAATTCAAGTAATTATCAGTTGTATGAAAATTAAATTTTTGTAAACAACAATATTTTTTTTTAATTTGATATATTTTTTGTTTTATCACAGTTGACTTGATGCATAGTTTTTATTAAATTTTGCATTATGATACATTTTTCATTGATTTATTTGCTTTAAATTTATAATTATAGTATGTTTACATATTCGGTATATGTTTAGATAATATAGTAGTTGGTAATTGCTACTTTATTTAAATACTTTTATCATATTTGATATAACATGTCAAACAAAAAGTCAAAATTATAGTTTCATGCAGAAAAGCAGTAAGTTTGATTTTCACATAAATTTAGACATTTATGAATAATATACTTTTAGCTAAATCTAACAATGAAGTTAAGTATTACCGTTATGATTATTATATTATTTCTTGTTTTAGCAGAATTCAAAATATGGCAAGAGTGGCCGAGGTGAATACAGTGACAGATACATGCGAGAGTCTCCCAATGGTAATTCATACAGATCTGATTCACCAGAATGTGACTCTCCAAGAGATCGTGAGAGAGACAAAGATCGTGGGTACAAATCTACATACTTGCAGAAAATCAGAGAAAAGGAGAGAGATCGAGACTTCAAACGTGAAAAATATCCAGGTAACATGAAAGAAAATAATATTAAAATACCTGATACCTTTGGCATCAATTTGTCACTAATATCAACACATTAAAGACCACATGTCTAGTGGTGGGTTACCTTTTAATATTGGGAAAATTTAGAGGTTAAGTAATGTTTACCTCAAATTTTTTAACATTTAGAGAATAATACACATAATTAGCAATAAGAAAAAGTCAGTTTCCCCTGGATTATTTTTTTTAATGCAGTCTTTCTATTAAATTCTGCTATAAACAATTTAGTACAGTTTTATAATATGTCATATACATTTTGAACATAAATTCTTATAACTGTCACTGAAATGCTTCCTGATTGCAGATTTTTGTGATTTAATAATATTGCAATTTTTATCCTATAATGCAAAATAGCATTTTTTTTTTTTTATTAAGATATGTAAACTTTTTAAATTGAAATGCACAGACCTAAAATACAAATAACCTAAAATTCATGTTAACAGTTTACATTTCTATCAATTAGTATTTCTAACATTTATTTTTGTTTAACATAAATTCATTATTGAATGTAAAATAATGTCTTTCTGCATTCAATTTGTAAAATTGAATTTACACTAATTATTAGAAGAAATTACACTAACAATTAGAAACATTTTATTCGTCATCATAATTAGACTTGATTCACATTTTCCATTAAGATGGAATATTTTAAATTTTTTTGTGAATAATCTTAAATTTTTATTGAACCTAACATTAACCTTTGATATTTATCAATGGCAACAAGCTCAATTCTATTAAGTACCTAGAATATCATACTGTAAATTCTAATATTGGACATCGTAACAAAAAATAGCAGTAAAAACCAAAACATGAGCTATAAGCTAAGACTATTAACAGAATCATCAATATATGCCATCGATATATAAATTATTATGTGATAAATAGCATTGAAAGCTCAAGCTAATGAGATGCTTCTATGCGCTGATCTTGAATGATGTAGTTATTTATAATCACAGCTGAACTAGTATACATTTTAATAACAAATTTTAATAAAATACACAATTATAACATGGTCAAAAAGCACAAAAATATAGTACAATAAAGTAACAATAAATTTATACACAAGTAATTATTGAACACTATTACAAATTATTCAGAAATTGTTTTTGTTTTTATAATAATGTATCAACTAATGAGTCTTATTTTTCAAGGAATTTGATATCATATTTAATATCAATATTTGCTAATCTCGATAGTGTCAAATGACAACAATGGATACTCATTTAATTCATTTTACTTCATACGTATATATATATATATATATATATATATATATATATATATATAATTACTGAAAAAATTGATTTTAACTTGTCTTCTAACATAGAACTCATGATGTTTGCAATAGTTTTATTTAAACAATCAATTAAACAAAATGTAACATTATTTATATCTTCTTAAATCAATAATTTTCCTATACATCATTTTCAAGTTCATATTCATATTAAATCACTAGATTAATTGCATTTATTTAATATATCTGACTTATATTAACTCTTTTTATATTTTGTTGTTTTAAAATATTTTCTTTTAGTTGGGTTCAAAGTTAGTAGCATTGATTTTAATTCAAAATTTTTTGTTGCAAATCTTTTCATCTATTTGAAATTTGTATTTAATATCCCGCACTTTGTTAATACTCTTTGTTAAATTTGTCTTTAATTTTTTGATGATATATTAGCAGTCTTAACTTTTGTAATTTTTGTTTGAGGTATATTATATTTTTCCTTATGAATGATATTAAGTTATCACAAGTCATGTATAACTTTTAATATAAATCTCACACATCTTTTATAATTTACTCTGAATTTATTTACAGAATGTGCACGTTCTCCCAAGGAAAAAAGACGAGAGCGCTGTATGGATTTGGAACACAGGACTAACCATGATCGAGGGGATTGTATGAGCTCAGTAGACAAAATATCTAAATGTTCCGGCCGCAATTCTGGTAATTTTATTAGTCTGCTTTGTATGTTTTCTTTTATATTAAATTAGTGTAAATATTTGGTAACATTCTTAAAATATAATTCTACTGAGGAACTCCAAGCATATTCTTTGAACCCTATGTACGGCATTAAAAATTATGTAATAAATATAGGTTTGCTTTTTAACAGCTAATTTAATAACAAACTAATCATAATTATTTAGATACATTGTTTAAGACACAAGTACCTAAAGGTTTATTCTCATTCTTAGGAGAGTTTGAAATTCTGAGTGTTGTTAAGATATTAATATTATTAAGAGTTGATTAATATACTTTACATTATGGAGCCCCATTGAATGTAAAAAGTAAATTAAATCTTGCGCTTAAAACCTTTTTATTTAGTTAAAATACCCTTTAAAACAACAAAGCCCAAACAGAAGCTTCTTTATGTATTTATAAATACAACTAATTATGTTTATAACTAGTTATTTCATATTGTTTTTGTAATATTATAATGGCACCAAATAACTTTTCCAAATTTTGCACCAACAAGTTTTGCTTGTTAATAACAGATCAAATGTTAATCTTTAGAGTGTGCTATGTTCAATAATAAAATGAAGAATTTTAGATGTCTTTGAATGTGGTTTTGTGTATTACAACCGGATTATTATTTAGTTTTATTAAGACTCTTACTTCATAATTCTAGGTAAAGGTTCCAGTAATGCAGGTTGTTTAGGAGATAAGGGTATGCAGCGCAATAGCAGCGGGAATTCGAGCGGAACTCAAAATAATCAGCCTCCTCTGGATGACCGAGAGAGAGTTATTAGGGTTGGCGACTGGTCTGAGCACCTCAGTTCATCTGGTGTGTATTTTGTACAAATAAAGCTAGATTTTTAGTTTGCTATCTAAGTTTGTCATATTTTTATTCAGCTTTCAAGGTGATGTGCAACATTTTATTTTAAATTTGTTTAATGGTTATGTTCTATTATGTTTACGAAATTTAAAGAATATTTAAATGGTTTAACAATAATAAAATAGTAAGCCCATACTTCACTTTGCGTTGTGAAGAGATTAAAAGTGAATTAAAATTCTTTCTTTAACAAAGCATATAAAAGATTGTGGATCAGTCTCAAATGCTTCTTTTTAAAAAAATACAAAAATAATATATATTTTTTCACATGGATCATCAGTAAAACAATGTAAGTAATACTGTGGCAGTGGTCATAAGTGTCCGCTTGCTATTTTACTCAGATTGATACATTATTTGCTGTGCAGGTTTTTCTTACTATGTAAAATAAATGTCCTTGTAGTAATTGATATTTGTTGCTACTGCCTGGGAAACTTTAAAAACCCTTCCATTGCCAGGATCATTTTTTTGTCATAATTGGCTACTATTTCACTAAAACTGATCCATTATTGGCAGGGCAACTTTTTTATCATGTAAAATAAATGCCCTTCTAGCAATTGATATTTGTTGCTACTATCTGGGATGCTCTAAAAGTCCATCCATTGTTTGGATCATTTTTTTGTCATAATTTACTGCTATTTTACTAAAATTGATCCACTTTTTGCTGGGCAGATATTTTTACAAACACATCACTTTGAATATTTGCTTGCAGAGATTTTATTTGACACCTGCTTCATTAGAAGATTGTAATTCCAGTTGAAATCTTGGTTATTATGGAAAAAATCTTAGTTGTACCAGGTTAACAATTATTTGTCAGTCTCCTCCAATGTCAGAAAATTAAAAAAACAAAGAAATATTCAAAGCTAATACAATGCAACATTGACAATCTGATAACCAAGTGAAAATTAGTATAAATTGAGATATGGCGCGAAAACTGAAAATTGAACACCGTCGTAAAGTGAGGTTATGGGTGCACATTTTATATTTTATTTCAAAGTTTTTATGAAAAATACTAAGGTCAATTATCCTTTTTATGGAGCCTTTTGTCATCTTTTTTCTCGACACTTTTTTTTACTCTAATTTTATACATGGTTCCTAATGATATCTGTAATGAAAATCTTGAATCACTGAATTAAAATTTTAAGCCTTCATAGGCAGCACTAGTATTATGACTATAATACCTATATAAAATTTATGTTTCAATTATATATATTTTTTCTTCATAAGAAAGCATTAAAAGTTAGGGCATTAATGATTTCATGATCATTGTTCTGTTACAGGTAAAAAGTATTACTATAATTGTAAAACAGAAGTATCCCAATGGGAGAAGCCGCGCGAATGGATAGAGCGCCCTTGTGAGCGAGATCGCGATAGAGAGCGAGAGCGGGAAAGAGAACGGGATCGCGATAGAGAAAGAGAACGCGAAAGGGAAAGAGAGCGGGAGCGAGAAAGAGAAAGGGACCGAGAGCGGGAGCGAGAGAGGGAAAGGGATAGAGATAGAGACAGAGATAGGTCAGAAAGGAATGAGCGCGATAGGGAAAGGGACAGAGAAAGGGATAGGGAAAGGGAGAGAGATAGAGATAGAGGTCCAAGCTTAGGAGGAGGTGTACCAGGAGGTAGTCAAAGAACTAACAGCACCAGCAAGGACCATCGAGATGATCGTGAGGCAAGGTACAGCAATGCAGGCAGTATCCGGAACGGTGGGTGTAATGCACTTCATAAATTTATTACGATTACTTCTTTTTATCTTTGCTTTTCAATTGAAGTTTTATCTTAATGTAATCTTGTTTAATTTTTTTCAGCTCATGACAAACATTCCAGCGCGCGTTTACGTGAATGTATTAGTCGCGGCGAAGCAGGCCTGGTTAGCAGGTCCCGAGGCAGTTGGTGCTCTACGGATGTAACAGATTCTCGAAGAAAAACTGAAGGTAATTTCACAATATGTATTTCTAAGTGATTACATACAATCTTTATAACATAGGATTACTAATGCTGGAATTTTTGGAAAATTATAAATTGTAGGTGAAAAATGATATTCTAAAATAATCTCTGTAACTTAAGGAGGTATTCTAGAGTAGAAATTTGGTTAAATAGTTTATTCTTTTTTTATATCTTCAATGTTTATGATTAAAAAAAACTTAAATTATCTTTGGAGATACAGATGTTTGATCATGATAATCCCCTCTTCGGTTTCCTTTTTTTTGCAAAACTTGAAACGCGTTTTTCTCAAAATTCTCTTTTTCAATACGGTGCCCACGATTTCGCGAGATTTACAGGACCGATTTACAGGAACGATTTATTTGAAATATTCAGAAAATCTTCTTTATAAATTCATTTTAGGCATGTACTCATCCCCAAATTTTAATTTTTACTATTTTAAAAAAATGTGATAAACTCAAAAAAAGTGAGAAATTAATCCTTTTTTTTTTCAAACAGTCGTCATTTGGTCAAAAATTTAATTTTTAATTTTTAATCAACTCATTTACTAGGAGGGTTGCAATTGTGGGCATGGTCATGAGTGACCTTTTTGAGACCTCATTTCAGCTGCTAAGTTTTAAAATTATTACTTTTTTTTAATTTTTTTCTGTAGTCTTATACCATTGATAAATATACTTGTATACAAAGTCAAAAAAATACTAGTTGTGCCTTAAGGCAAATTGCTGTAACTTTCCATAACGTAACAAAATGTTTGAGGAATATTAAATGTTTTCAAACAGATCATTATAAATTCTGTAATAATGTCTAATATTTATAAGAATTATATGAACTGAATTACAAAGTTAAAATTATTTACTTAAAGTATATAAGTGAGCTTTAGAACTTTAACCAGAATTAAAATTGAAATTTGAATTTTTTCGGTATTCAAAAAATAAAAATTAAAAAAAAAAATTGAATGAAAAAATATTCACCATATCTCCCTATCAATAGGAATCAAATGTTTTTTGAACCAAACAAATCGGTTGATCCGTGCGCCCAAAAACGTGTACGAAAACACGCAACACACATCCATTTTTTCTGAGATATACCAAATTGTTCAGAAACCTGCAAAACGTGGAAAAATGCAAAAATTTTCATTTTCGATTTTCGGCCCATTACTATAAATACCCTAAGGGAAGTAACAATAAAACGTTGATCAAGAAATTGTAATAAGGATACATAGTGTACGATCATAGTATAAAAATTGATTGCCTGTTTTTTATGATGATTTAAAAAAGACTTAAATTTCATGCTTGGAATACCACCTTAATTTATAATACTCAGATGATTACATTTGTAATTATATTTTCTTAATAATTACAAGTAATTTATTTGTTCATAAATACAATTTTGGAAAATTATTTCAAGGAGATAACACACAAGATATGGACATTTCACCAGGTGACAGCACGCCTACATCTGAAGCTTCCTATGGCCATTTAGGAACTCCTTCAAACAGGCATTGTGGAAATCCAGCAAATGATGGTGAGTTTTTTATTCACCTACTTGGTGTACTTTATTAAATAACTAATTTTCATGCTAAATAACATGCATTTTTTTAAGAGAACAGAATTACTTTTTTTTTGCTAAATACTATATACAATTTTCTAACACAATCTTATATATTATTTTGCAGGAACAAGCCAGCCAGGTAATATGATAACTACAGTACTACCGAGATTATCTTCACATCCCACGACGCCTTGTACAACGAGCACGGTGCAAAGATCATTTAGTAAAACCTCACAATCACCAAATTCAAGCAGTATGGGACCCACCATGATGGCTGGATCTAATGCAAGCAATCAAATGAATAGTGTGCCAGGGCCACCGAATAAATTGCCACCGCAAATTAATGGTACCTTTTAGTAATATTTTTTTGAATTTTTTGATTTTGAACCATATTTAACACTAGAACAACGGAGGTTGGTTGTATATATTGCCTGATTGAGAGTCAATTTGGGTAAGGGATTAGGGAGGAGGAGAAATTAATTTTTGTATACCTTTCCTTGTACTATGAAAAACGAAAAAAATATTTAAATAAAATAATTAAAATAAAAAAATGACTTGAAATTGTTATGTATATCATATAAAAAATACAAATGAGTCAAATTGACTCGCTCTGTCATTCTAATGTTGAATAAGCTTTACCCAAGGAATGATAATTAGTGTGGGTTTTTATTATTTTCTACAAAAATATTACAAGCTGTTTAACGGCATTCTGTAAGAAATAATTTTTGTGTATAGAGTTTTTAGAGGTTTTACTTTTGCTTCAAATAATGCTGTAAACTTATAAAATTATAAATAGTAAATTTTTGAAATTAAGATTTGTTCATCTTAATCTTATTCTGTTTCATTGATGTATAAGAAACTTATTTGATAATCAATATTTTTCAGCTTCTAGCAAGAGTACTGATCAGCCAGAGATGAACTCACAAAAAATGCTGCAGGGCATGCAGAATAATTTATCACAGTCTGCATGTACAAGTTTGAAAATTGACACAAATGTTGGAGTGATTGGAGATGGTCCCCCTACGCCGACGCATTCAGAAAATCCAGATGCATTAGATAGAATAAAAAGTAAGTTCATAATAAATTTTACAGAAAACTATTAACAACATTTAATGTTAAAATTAACTGCAGTTTATTCATATAGTTTTTTCTTTTTCTTGTTTGATGATACCACCCTTTAGTAACATCATTATATTACCATCAATAGTGACTTTTTTATGTATTACCTAATTTTCAGCCACACAATCAAAATTTTTGTGGTTCAAAGTGTATAAAATACTTCTGAATTATTTCTAATTTTTTTGAGAAAAATTATTTTTAATAAATTTATATAAGCGAATCCCCTGCTGTTTAAAGATTAGAAACAAATTATAAGTTCTTACTCTCATTTTACAGCAGAAATCCCCAGCGTAAATAGCGTTCCCAATTTAAGTTCTCTGCAGGGATTATCACAAAGTTCTGCGGTCGGAATGGGTAGTGCATTAGCTGCTCTACGACCTCAAGGACCAAATCTGACTCCCGGTTTAGCCAATCACTGTCGGCAAGATTTATTAGGGCATGTTCAAGGCTGGCCTGCTGATGTATTAGAAAAACAGGTAAGAAATAAAGTTATTTCAATTTCAATGAGCTATAGATAAGAATAATGAGAGCTTTATTCTATTTTTAATTACTACAAATTGTATTTAGTTATCAGGGTATAATTGTTATATTAATCTGAATATCGTTATAAACGATATTTAATCAAATTTTCGATTTTGCAACCAATTTAAAAATAAAATGACTTAATTTTCGTACCTTGTCGAAATTTGTACTGTCCGCGAAGAACGTGTTAAAAAAAATCTGTTTCATGTTGATGGTCATTATGTTCAATCAGCATTTTATTTTGATTTTTATATATGTATGTGAACAGATTTTTGCCGTATATCGACGTTTTCTCAAAAACGGCTGGAGCGATTTCAAAAATTTAAGACATTTGATGTATCTCGATGAGGACTAGCGTTTCTTAGTTTTGTGCGACGATCGGCCGAGACGTTTCTTTGTTATTTGAAAAAATGTTAAACTTTTCGTCCACATTAAAGCTCATACTACCGAATCAATTTTGAAAACTCAAACTGTTCGAAATATATTAGTTGGTAATGCTACTGATCAGTTTTAGGTGAAAATCTACTGATCCATTTTCTTGCAATTAGTTGAAAAAAAATTAAGCCGATTTTTATGGAACTTTTTTTTGCGATATATATCATGGTCTTATAGATCTTACTGAAATATTTCGGCCTTACGAAAAGTAGTTTAATTTTAAAAATTCATCAAAGTTTGAGAAAATGAGTAGTTTCTTTGACGTTTGTCTAATGATAGAGTACTTGGAGAATTATTAATATCCGATTATAATGATATATTTTTTTCATATTGTTAACAATTTTGCTTATTGTTTTCATTAACATAATGTAGAATAGAACAACTAAAAATGTACTGTAATGTTCCAATTATTGATTTCTTATTTTAGTCACATAACAAAAATGGATTTTTTACTTTAATTTTCTTAAGTACGTTATTTAATTAATCAAATTGTTAATTAACATTTTCTATTATGATTCTAATTACTAACAGATCATATACATTTTAATAATCTTTATTCTTCTATCTTTATCAGCCTTTTAGAATGAAATCAATTTATTTTTAATTTCATGTAAATTTTTTTGATGAACCTCATTTTTTTTTTCAGGCTAATAATTTACAGAAGAGTCACTGACTATGGGTAATATCCAATGCACAAGGGTATCTGCTGATCTTAAAATAGCTAGAAGTATAGTTAGACTTACAGAAATTCAAGCCACTTTACAAGATCAAAGGTATTTTTTAATTTTCTATATTATCTATTCACCTTATTCAATATGTGTTGCTCATTTCTGTTTGAAGTGATTTTTTTTCAATGTCAATAATTTTGCTGTGAAAAAAAGTACATAAAATCAAAAGTGTTTCATTAGATTCAGAATGACTTGAAACATAAAAGTAGCAAAACGGATTTTTTCGCGTAAACAAAGTTCTTCTTCGGGAGTAAATAAAACTGGTGCTGAGTATAAAGGTATATGAAAAAAATAAAAATCTTCCATTCAAAGGACCTCCATTAAAAAATATATTTATATTTGTAGTCTATTATTTAAGTCTCGAATAAATACCATATTCTTTGATAATTTATATCAAATGTCTAATATGGATTATTTTGCAAGCTAATAATTAATGCATACAATTATTATTTTCAGATTGATGTATTTGAGGCAACAAATTCAAAGACTCGAGGACCTAAAGTCGCAGAACTCTTTCTCCAAAATGTCTGAAGACTTGTAGTGATTGTGCACAGATGTTTTAATTTTTTCTATTAAGGTTATATAAATAAAAGTAAAAATATTAGGATAAATAAATGAAAAAAATAAATAAAACTGACAAAAAAAATATATACAAAACATAAATAATTTTATTGTTCTTATGGACTATCATCAATTATTAGCTAAACTTAAACCCAAATGGAGATAATGGTGTGCATCATTTCCCACTTTTTAATATAGTTAGATCTAAAACAAAAAGTGATGTGTTTGTTTCTGGTGTTCCTTTTAATTTGGACAGCGTTTAGAGATGTAAAATCGATGGTGGAAGTGTAATATGTGAATGTTTTTTTATTGGAAGTTGTCTAAAAATAATAATAATAAAATAATGTTCAGTTAATATTTGATTTGTCCAAAACACTTTCTGTTTTTATCAACATCTTTGATAGATTGATAATTAACTGTGATGATTTTATCGTTTTACAACTTTTTCACATATGCGTTGTATTTATTTTAATATTATGATATATAAATGTTTTACCCGGACACAAATGTTCATAGTTTTCTAAGAAGTTTATTTTTTATTTTTTGTATACATTAGTGATCATAATAATAGGTACAAATTGATTTTATTTTAATGATTATGAAAAATGCTGTAAATGGAACAAAAATTTCATTATGAATTAATAATATATGTAAGACAAATGAAAGATGTGAATTGTGTTCAAATTGATTGACTTCAATTATATTCTTTATGATGAATATTTCATTTTTACATTCTTATATTGATGATATTTTTGACTTGGAGATAAACTCAGCAAAATGTGAACATTTATGAAATTTCACAATCTAATACATGTTTATTTTAAATATTCGCAGCAAACTAGAATTTGTCAAACTATGAATGTGAAACATTGTTAATAATAACTTATTTATAACAAAATGCATTTTCTTAATTAATCGTCATTGTTTTATAGCTTTTATTGAAAAACAAGCACTTGCACATGTTTGAATTTGCTGACAATCACAATGACTTTAAATTGGATCTAATAAGCACATTTAAGAATAATTTTCATTTAATGTTAACTTTTTGTAAATAAATTAAACATACTGCTTTTCCTTGGATGTTCTGATAAATTAGAAATTTTTACTTGTATATATTAATACTGATCTTGTGACTTGGTTCAAACCTAGACTTGTAATGAGTTTGTAATAATTTGAGTATTAGAAGATAAAGGCCAGTTAACTGTATTATTATGTTTTAAATTGGTTCCTTGAAT